AATACTGTCTGTGATGGTCTTTGGCGACCCCTCTGACACTCTCTCGCGACCCCTTCAGGGGTCCCGACCCCCAGGTTGAGAACCACTGGTGTAGACACTTAACAAGGAGAGGTGGGGCTTAGCAGACTGATTTAAGGAAGGAGGCTATCATTCCCTGTCTCTCCAGTCTTGGTATTGAGACACCCACCTTTGCAGCAGTGTGTGTCTGACTGGACGCCTAGGGACTGGGTAGGATTTTTTCACTTGTTAAAGGATTTTTTTTTTGCCTACCCCACACTGTGAGCTGGATACTGGGGAATTAATTTTGGGCATGGTCTGTAATTAGGTTTTTGCCATTTGCAGGTTTTGTGGATATGGATATTGGTGAACACGCATGATGCTCCTTTAGGGTAGAAGGGGAATAGCCTGGAATTGCCTCTTTAGGTCTTGTGACTGGGGAAGGTGAGGATAGAGATTCTTCTTTGGGGTACCCTGAGCCTTATTCCCCCGGCCTTGGGGCTTGGAACAACGAAGGGGGAGACTTTTGGGAAGCCTTCTAAGTGTGGGCAGTCTGGGGAACACAGACTGCCCACAATTAAAAACCTCCGCAGAAGCATACAAGAAGCTCGGCCTGTCATTGAACATCGAGAAAACCAAAGTGCTGTTCCAGCAGTCACCAGCCAATCCCTTTCCAATGCCAGAGATACAGCTGAATGGTGTAATATTAGAGAATGTTGACCATTTCTGCTACCTTGGCAGCTACCTCTCCACCAAAGTCAACATCGACACCGAAATACAACACCGCCTGAGCTCTGCGAGTGCAGCATTTTTCTGAATGAAGCAGAGAGTGTTTGAAGACCGGGACATCCATAGGGATACCAAGGTGCTTTTTTATAAAGCTATTGTGCTCCCAACCCTGCTATATGCCTGCAAAACGTGGATTGTCTACAGACGTCACATGCAACTCCTAGAACGATTCCATCAGCGCAGCCTCCAGAAAATCCTGCAAATCTCTTAGGAAGACAGGCGGACAAATGTCAGCGTGCTGGAAGAAGCAAAGACCTCTAGCATTGAAGCGATGGTCCTCCGCCAACAACTCCGCTGGACCGGCCACGTTGTCCGGATACCGACCACTGTCTCCCAAAGCAGTTGCTCTACTCCCAACTCAAGAATCGAAAACAGAATGTTGGAGGGCAGGGAAAGAGATTTAAAGATGGGCTCAAAGCCAACCTTAAAATCTCTGGCATAGACACTGAGAACTGGGAAGCCCGGTCCTTGAGCGCTCCAGCCGGAGGTCAGCTGTGACCAGCAGTGCTGCAGAATTTGAAGAGGCACGAATAAAGGGCGAAAGAGAGAAACGTGCCAAGAGGAAGGCACGTCAAGTCAACCCCGACCGGGACCACCTTCCACCTGGAAACCAATGCCGGAGACGATGCAGATCAAGAATAGGGCTCCATAGTCACCTACGAACCTACCCTGGAGGATTATCCTACTCGGACAACGAGGGATCGCCTAATGCTGGGGAACAACCCAGGCTTTGGTTTACCTTGGAGCACTCGTAGGGTTAGATGGCAGAGAGGTTAATAGGATTTCGGCTGCCACCACCTTTTCCACATCGGTACACTCTCTCTCCCTTTTTGCTTATGTATATCTCTGGTTCACAGTGAAAGCAACTAGCTCAATAAAGACGGCCCAGTTTACCCAATATTCTGGTGTGTTCTCATTATTTCACTGATGGGTCGTAAAAATAAACCCTCTCAACTTTGCCCAGCATATGGTGAAATGATAAGTCTCTGCCAAATAGTGGACTTTACATGAATCTCCAACAAGCTGTGGCAAAATGCATCCTGATGTCTGTCATCCAAGATGTTGATCAATAGAGTATTCTCTCATGAGAGAGCCAATAACACTGGCCAGCACACATTTTGGTGCCTCAAATGTTAGATCTGTTGCTGGGTGCTGTCTCCAAAAATGGCACCAGTTTCCTCCTATCAGCTCTAGATTTTGAGATACAGAACATATGCCCTATACCAGACTTCATCTCCTCGCCCATAAAAATCATGATAACCATATCTAAGAAACTAGAGTGGATGCAGCCTTTCTAATGCAATTTTCTGCACCAGCACCCCCCAAAAAACCCAGGAACAGGACTAGAAACCAAAACACCAAGAATATTTTTGTTGGTATATAAGTATATATAAGTATGCATGTGTGTATATATATATAATTTTTTTCTCTTCTCTCCTCTCTTCCTTCCTGCTATGCTATGTATGTACGTGTATTTTTCTATGTGGAAAACACAATAAAGATATATTTTTAAAAAGAATATTTTTGTTGGGTTGTGTAATGAATAAAAATCAATAGCATGAGCATTTACAGAATTAACAATGGCATATAAGCCTAGTTATTCTGACATTTGTGCTCATACATTTTTCTTTTACTTCACATTTCTAATGTTTAGTTCACTAAATCTATATACAATAATGTATTTAAAGCTATGCAATGCTTGCTGGTCAACGAGATACTGAAAGATACCTCCTGGCCCTTCCTAACATTTTCCAGATGATAATTTGAACTAAAAGATACATCTTATCTGAAAGAATGATCACAGTGTATTCAGAACTCTCATGAGCAAATATATGTATTTTCACAGCGAGATTTATGAAGTCGAAAGAGATGTTAGTTGGCTGTAAGTGGGAGTAGCACAGGCCAAGTTTAACTGTAGAAGGCACAGATGGATATATAAAGCAGTGACAGCAATGTCCCCTCTAGTTTATGACAAAATCATAAATGCAATTTGTTGCAAGCAATAGCTTTATAGACCATTTGCTTGTTTTAATTTCACTTTAAAATTTTATCTCTCATTTGCTTTTGCTATTGTGAAACCATCAGGAGGTAATTGCTGGGCCTGTAGTAACCATCACAATGACTCTTGAAGTAGCAAAATACCTACAAATTATGGTGAAAAAGGTGACATTTGAAATTTGCTGGAAAGGCAAAGCACGTTCTTTCACAACACAAGGTTTATCACAAAAGCAGCTACCACCCTGTATAGTTTAAATCTAATTGAGCTCTGTACATGAAACCCACACTTGTACATTGATTAGAAGCAGCAACTCTGGATCTGAAATCTCAACCAGTATTCAGTATTCTATCAGAACACTCTATCATTTACATTGTAAATATGTTGAAATCATTGTTTCTTGTATATGGTTTTATGTTTTGTAAGCCACTTGAGCAATACATTTTTGAAGAGCCAAAGAGGAATATACATTTAAAAAAATAAAATAAAATAAAGATCTTCTGGGGAGGCCCTGCTCTTCCTCCCACCTTCCTCGCAGATGCGCTTGGTGGGGACGAGAGACAGGGCCTTCTCAGCGGTGGCCCCTCGATTGTGCCCTGCCTAGGGATATAAGATCGGCCCCCTCCCTCCTGACTTTTCGAAGGAAGGTGAAAACCTGGCTTTTTGAGCAAGCTTTTCCAAGTATAGCATAGCTATACGAACTCACGGAATGACTGATGATGAAACTGAATAATGACTTGACATGGAGATGCTCATGATAATGTTTTTAAGGCTATATTTTTAATATTGTAATATTTTTAATATTTTTAATATTGTAATAATATTTTAATATTGTAATACTCTTATATTGTATGTTAAACATTTTAATGCTATTTTACTGTTGTTTTTAACTGTTATAATTTTCGTGTAATATTTTTAATATTTTTAATATTGTAATAATATTTTAATATTGTCATACTCTTATATTGTATGTTAAACATTTTAATGCTATTTTATTGTTGTTTTTAACTGTTATAATTGTTGTGGCATTGAATTGTTGCCAATTGTGAACCGCCCTGAGTCGCCCGCGGGCTGAGAAAGACGGTATATAAATATCGTAAATAAATAAAAAATAAATATCAGGGGTCCTCAAACTTTTTAAGCAGAGGGCCAGTTCTTGGACCCTCAGATTGTTGGGAACTGGACTATAGTTTAAAAAACATGAACAAAATCCTATGTGCATTATACATATATTATTCATAATGCAAAAAAAAAAAAAAAAAAAAAAAAAACCCCAGAAAAGCACAATACAATATTTAGAATGAAGAACAATTTCAGCCAACATAAACGTACCAGTACTTCAATGGGAAGTGTGGGCCTGCCAAGTTAATTAGGATTGTTGTTCTTATTTATTGTTTATTTATTTAAAACACTGATATTCTGCCCTTCTCACCCCGAAGGGGACTCAAGAGCGGAGCACAACATATATATGGCAAAAATTCAATGCCTGGGTACAATACATAAACATTAAAAACATTTATCTAAATATTAAAATACACCATTAAAAATAACACAATTTAAAACCGTCCTAGCCATCCGCATCAAATCCTGTCACCTTTCCCATTGTCGCCTTGTCCCGAAAGCTTGGTCCCACAGCCAAGTTTTTACCATCCTTCTAAAGGACAAGAGGGAGGGGGCCAACCTGATCTCACAAGGAAGGGAGTTCCATAGCCGGGGAACAATCACCGAGAAGGCCCTGTCTCTTGTCCCCACCAATCGCGCCTGTGACAATGGCGGGACGGAAAGCAGGGCCTCCATGGAGGATCTTAATCTCCATGATGGTACATAGAGGGAGATGCGTTTGGACAGGTAATTTGGGCCGGGGCCGTTTAGGGCTTTATAGGCCAAAGCCAGCACTTTGAATTGTGCCCGGTGTGCCTTCAAGTTGTTTCAGACTTAAGGTGACTGTGAGTCTAAGGTTTAGGGTGGGGGCAGGTAAATGACCTTAGAGGGCTGTATCCAGCCCGCGGGCCTTAGTTTCCTTACCCCTGCTCTATATACTAAGGTCAACATAGGCATATGAACATACAGTGCTGCCTAATGGTGAGATCAACTTCCCACTGTCTTCCATTCCAATGCAAACATTATTTGAATGTATGTATCCTTCTATACTATTCAACTTTTTTTTTTGCTTAAGGGAAAACAACCCTTGTCTTTTGCATGCACATGTCAGACTTACTTGGCAGCAGCATCTTTTCTCAGCTGTTCATGCTTCATGAGAAGATTTTTGCGATTTTGAAATGTTTTTCTAACTTTGTATCCTTTATAGACTGCTTGTATTTTGACAGCTGCAATGTCCTGAATGGCAGCTATGGACAATGCATTATGTTCCAACATGAACTGGATTACTTCATGATGACCTCCAAGCAGGGCGTAATCAAGTGGAGTGTATCTAAAAATAGCAAAAAAGATACATAATTTAAAAAAAACGGAGAGAGAATTTCTAATACTAGTTTTCAAAATGATATACCTGTGTGATCAATAAAAATGCAATTATATTTTATCAAATATTTAGTTATGTTGAAAATGGTACAGCTTGCACTTGTGTATGAAGAGCAGGAGAAACTAGTCACTGATAGAATCATTCATTATCTGTTTAAGGCGCTCCATTGGCTTCTGTTCATTTACCGGGCCCAATTCAAGGTGCAGGTGCTTACCTACAAAGCGCTAAACGGTTTGAGACCCATCTACCTGCGTGACCGCATTTCTGTATACGAACTCACACGATCTCTTCGTTCATCTGGAGAGGCCCTGCTCATTATCCCACCTGCATCGCAAGTGCAATTGGTGGGGACGAGGGACAGGGCCTTTTTGGTGGTGGCCCCGCGACTCTGGAATTCCCTCCCCAAGGGCAACAGGCAAGCCCCAACATTGGCAGTCTTTAGAAGGAGCTTGAAAACGTGGATATTCCAGTGTGCCTTCCCAGAATAAGGAACCCTAAGCAATATGTCCCAAATGCACTTTATGAGAGACTGCACACCTACCTATCCTAAAATATCCATCCTATTTTCCTTGGACATGCCCAGCATTTTTAATTTTAACCCTTGCACTTGGCCCTGCCACAGGTTTTTAAATGCGTCGTGTCATTACTGTATTGTTTTTGCTTTGTTATGAGTTATTTAATGTTGTATTGTTGTTATGTTTTTATGATGTAATTGGACTCGGCCTTTTGTAAGCTGCACCGAGTCCTGCAGGAGATGGTAGCGGGGTATAAATAAAGGATTATTATTATTATTATTATTATTATTATTATTATTATTATCTGCAACAGAAGCTGGATTTAGAGAACACTACATACAAAAATGGGAGCTTTAGTTCATGTGGCTCTCATTAAGCGGGTATTTATTTATTATTTATTATTATGGTCGCTTATACTCCGCCCTTCTCACCCCGGGGGGGGGGGGGGACTCAGGGCGGCTTACACAAGCAAGGCACAGTTCAATGCCCGCATTAAATGACAACAAAAACACAACATCAGTTAATGACAGCAATTATAACAGTGATGACAATTAACATAAGCAATAATTATTATCGATAAAACAACCATAAAACCTGTAAAAGCAATAAAACAATAAAAACAATACAAACCTCATTGCTGGTCAGCGTTTAACAGACTCATAGTTTAGGTTCTACTACCACACATTATCGGTCCTATCCATCTGGTTTCCATATCTAATTGTCAGGATGCCCAAAGGCCTGGTCCCATAGCCATGTCTTTACCTTCCTCCTGAAGGCAAGGAGGGATGTAGATGCCCTGATTTCCCCCGGGAGTGAGTTCCACAGGTGGGGGGCCACCACTGAGAAGGCCCTGCTTGTCGTCCCCACCAGCCTCACTTGTGATAGCGGTGGGGTCGAGAGCAGGGCCTCCCCAGATGTCCAAAACACTGAACTGAATTATATTGTACATTTCCACGGCCAAAGTCAGCACAACTTTGAATCTGTCACAGGTTATGAATACATACATACAACCATGATGCAAAACTAGAAGGTAGAGTTAATGTCATCATTCAGGAACCAAGAGTGGTGGTCACAACTCAAACTTTTACAACCTGCTTGCAAGACTGAATGTTCTAAAATTTTCTTGAATGGATAAAGAACGCCATACCATTCTAAAACAACTAAATTAGATAGAGAGAATGATCACTGCAGAATTTTAAGACTTACCGTATATATTCCAGTTAGCTTCAGCATATGTATTTGTCAATTACACACAAACACAGAAATAGACAAATACATGTTTCGTAATAAAAATCATTTCCTACATCGGCTGAAGCAATTTTGTCAATATTCAGATAAGTCCAATTATCCTGATTACAAGTAGTATCTAGTTAATCTATTCAAATATATGCCGAGCAGGACAATGGTGCCAGGCAAACACTGTCTATAGGTTAGCCACCTGCTACAGATCTGTATGTGAAACATCAATTGGAAACATCAATTTGACACAAAGTGGTCAAATTGAAGTTCCTCTTGATGGTAACCAGGAAGGATGCCATGCAGGAAGAGACAAAAGAAAAGAGATGGAACCAGTGAAATTGAACTTGCCATATGGTGATTGTCTAAAAAGAAGACCAGAGTGTCTGAAACTAAAATGTCAATAGAAATACAAGACAAAGATGGGACTTAAAAGAGATTTGAATGCCATAATCTGATATAAGTACCTTGAAGTGGTCTCACATTTTCATCTGCGTTTTTATATATGTTTGTTAATGAATACAACTAAGTTTTTAAAGGTTCTTATCAAATATGCAGCCAATTAATAATGTATGTCAAGGTACAGGCATGTTTACTCCTATTTCTGCTGTAGATCATATTGATTCTAGCTGAAATCTTTGCATGAAAAGATCAGTCAAGAGATCTCCGTATGCAGGACATGACATTGATATCCAAGGACTTGGCTGCTAATCATTCTATTGACAAGCTTCAGTGCTGATTTTGTCTTTACTCCTTTATAATTATCTGCAGATTCACATATACATTTAAACTTCCAAGAACCTACATTTTTCATTCTAGCAAAATAAACTTTTCAAAGAAAACAATAATTGAAATAATTTATTGTCGAATAATTTATTTCAACTCTCAAATCTTCCCAGCATCTAGATATAAGGTTACCAGACTGATTGCAAGACAGTCTGGCAATCTTATTTAATTGCTCATTGTATAAAACAATTGTTCATTATATAAAATGATCAATTTCAGTAGGTACAGCTTCTTCTGTTACAGAAAATGCCAGAAATCGTTTCCTTGCACAACCACTGAGTGGCAGCCTAGTGTTGTGGTTTGACTGGAATCTGGGAGATCCTCACTAAGCCTTGAAATTCACTGGGTGACCTTGGGTGAATCCTCTTCTGCCAGCCTCACCTATCTCACAGTGTAAATGTGAGGATAAAATGGCGACAAGGAGAATAATGTGTGTCGTCTTAAACTTACTGGCACAAAAACAAGACATCTATATAAATAAAAATGTAATATTCATTTGTGGGATTGACATAACTCAAAAACCACTGGGCGAATCGATACCAAATTTGGACACAAGACACCTAACAACCCAATGTATGTCCTTCACTCCAAAAATTGATTTTGTCATTTGGGAGTTGTAGTTGCTGGGATTTATAGTTCACCTACAATCAAAGAATATTCTGAACTTAACCAATGATGGAATTGAATCAAACTTGGCACACAGGACTCCCATGACCAACAGAAAACACTAGAAGGATTTGGTGCGCATTAATGTTGAGTTTGGGAGTTGTAGTTCACCTACATCCAGAGAACACTGTGGACACAAACAATGATGCATCTGGACCAAACTCTACACGAATGCCCAAATGTGAACACTGGTGGAGTTTGGGGGAAATAGAATCTTGACATTTGGGAGTTGTAGTTGCTGGGATTTATAGTTCACTTAGAATCACAGAGCATTCTAAACCCCACCAACGATAGAATTGGGCCAAACCTCCCACATAGAACTCCCATGAGGGCCACAGCGATACGTGGCAGGGGACAGCTTGTAAACTAATTAAAAAGAACAGTAATAAATTCAAACCATAAGAACTCAGGTTAAATAGTATCCTACCAAGGCACTGCTTCTTATTTAAGAACAAATCCATAACTGTGTTATTTCATGTTCCTGAGGAAGGAAGGAGAGAAAGAGGATGGAAAAGGGGGAAGGAAGGAAGGAGAGAAGGAAAGAAGAAAAGGGAAGGAAGGAAGAAAAGAGGGAGTGAAGGAAGGAAGGAGGGAGAGAAGGTTGGCCACAGCAACACATGGCGGGTACAGCTAGTACATAAATAAAGAACTAAAAAGCACACATAAACTAGATAGGGTAGATATGGGCAAGAAGATGAGTTTAGAGAGGCAATGCAGAATTACACCAGCAGACACCAACAGCATTAGCATTATTACTGCTACTCCTAAGGATCTGTACATTTTTAACACTGAAAGTATTTTTTAAAAATGTTGCCTTTTTAAGATTCTAGATAATCTTAAATCTAATAATCTAACTAAAGGAAGGCCTATTTAGAAAACAAAGTAAACTATACCTTTCTTCATTGTTCTCCATATGATTAGGAAAGGCGCCAAACCCCAGGAGCAACTTGACCGCATCAAGATAGCCATTGTTACATAACCAATGCAGTGCTGTCCTTCCCTATTAAATTTTGAAGATAATAATTTATATTTTGGAAAATTAAAGACCAGCAAGGATTATTGTAATTGTGACTATTTATTTATTTATCATGTCAGAAGCAAATTGAGAATACAGTTATAATGTATATTTTTAAAAAACAGCAAACAAAGTTAATAACTTTAACTAAAATGGTGAAGATACAATTAATTGTGGGAAAAGAATTTTCAGTTGCCATTAGGACTCTAAGGTAATTTATTAAAAGATCTTCCCCAAGCTAAAAAAGTTTTATATCATCCCTTTTATGTCTTGAGTCTCAATAAACCACCTTGAGTCTTTATTTCAGGAGAAAGGTGAGAAAGAAAGTAAATAAATAAAAATAAAAGTAAATATTCTATGTCTGTGTGTATATATTCAAAACAATCTGCTATGCAACCCTAGTTTACACATTCATATTTTTACATTTTTTCTGAGTTTCCAAAGCAGAAATGATGTGGTATTTGATCTGATAATCCTACAAGTACATGCAGTAATTACAGACACACCTGTTTATCTTGAATATTTGGATCTGCATTATTCTCTAATAGCACCATCATGCAATTAATGTAGCCCCCATAAGCAGCACACTGCAGTGGAGTTCTACCAGCGTAATCCTGCGCATTGGGATTGATTTTATTTTCTATCAAAATTTGGCATACATCGGGGTTTCCTCCCAGAGCTGCCCAGTGTAATGGAGAATGGCCATCTTGGTCAACCAAATCCACTCTTGCTCCTCCTGTGAGAAGAACAAATCATTCAGTTAATGGGCAAAGCCTGCTACCTGATCATATAAATAACTTATCAAAATGGCACACAAAACAGATGATGATAAGTATGAAGAGCATATACCACAACTATACAGAGCAGAGAACACGATACTGATTACAGATTCAAATTTGCTGAAAATCTTGACTTACATTAAAAACAACTAGGTTTCTAGCTCTTATGGGTTCTGAAGCAATATATGAAAATGTAGGCTCAATAGAAGATCAGGAAACAACCAATGTTGCCAATATTCCTCTTTTTGAAATGTAATTTTATTAAGAGTTTAAATACATTGAAATGCATAGTTGTTGAGGGATGTGCTCCATATCAGTATATGGTTAACATTTTATATTTTATAAGTTAGATCAACCCTATGATAATTGGTATTTTAAGGAATGGGGTGGTTTTGCCCCAAAATATAGAACTTCTGAGAAAAGTACTAAGATTTTCCAAGGCAAATTACAAAAGAAAATCTGACTTAATTGACAATTTGGAATGGGTTGGTTCATGAAAATAGAAATAAAGAGATGTTACAAAATATACCCATTTTTCTGAGAAACATGGGTCATTTTCAAGATGTGCTACCAATATTCTTGAAGCTATTCAGGTATACATTTTTACTTTGGGTGGGACAAGGGTTCACTGTAAGTCCCATGTAAGAACACATGCAAGCTGGAGTAAAATATAAATCATTTCATATGTGATTGAGGAAAATGTTCATTTTGTTCCTCAAAAATTTCAGTTTTGCATTCTGTTTATGCTAGTTTCAACTGATTTTTGAGTTAAAATCAGTAGGAATTCAAGTGATCTCACCACACCCAGGGACAGGGACAGAAATAGCAATATTGGTCATTGTCATTAAAAAGGGACATGAGGTAGTCACATCTTTTCTAGTAGATGTGAGTCCAAAGAAAGTTATACAAAAGGAAGATATACAAAAGAAATAAATATTTTAATGTATTGTCGGAGGCTTTCATGGCCGGAATCACTGGGTTGTTGTATGTTTTTTCAAACTATATGGCCATGTTCTAGAGGCATTATCTCCTGACGTTTCGCCTGCATCTATGGCAAGCATCCTCAGAGGTAGTGAGGTCACTACCTCACTACCTCTGAGGATGCTTGCCATAGATGCAGGCGAAAAGTCAGGAGATAATGCCTCTAGAACATGGCCATATAGCTTGAAAAATCCTACAACAAGCCATAAATATTTTACTTGGAGAGTTTTTCCCCTTTACTTTTCTCTTGAGGGAACCAAGGCGGATCAATATTTCCAGTTACAATTCAAGATTAACGGAAGAAATTCAACTGAAATGTTGTCTTTCTGTTGGAATGCTTTGCAGTAGACAACTAATGTCTCTGGATAACACTGGGCTCTTTGTAAGGAAGGTTCATGAGAAGGAACACAGGACATACTGTACTTCACTGCTTGGATCATTAGGACCCAGTTTAAAAGCTGACATATGAACATCATTGAGAACAGATAGCACATATTGGAAAATATTCCAGGACTGAGAAGGAAAAACCTTCAAGACGCAATTGGAAGATTTATTTTAATGACCAAATTAAATAGAAGGACATTGTCCAACACACATTTTGGTGCCTCAAATGTTAGTCCTGTTTCAGGATATATTTGACCTGTTGATTCCAATAATGGCACTGGCTTTCCCCTATCAGTTCTAGTTTTTTGAGATACAGAATATGCCATCTACTAGTCACAATTTGCTTGTCCATAGGAAACCATGATAACTATATCTAAGAATCTAGGGTTGATGCGGTCTATTCAATGCAATTTTCTGAATCAGTGCCCCAAATAACCTGAGGAACAGGACGAAAAACCATGACACCAAGATTTTTTTTTGTGTTGGGGTTGTTATCAATGAGTTTATCTGTTTTATACCAAACAACTATTGCTCAAGCTTTAATATCTGTGTTAGCAAATAAATAAACTTTAGTCTAAAGCAGGGGTCCTCAAACTTTTTAAACAGAGGGCCAGGTCACAGTCCCTCAAACTGTCGGAGGGCCAGATTATAATTTGAAAAAAAGAAAGAATGAATTCCTATGAACACTGCACACATCTTATTTGTAGTGCAAAATACATTTAAAAGCAATACAATAATTAAAATGAAGAACAATTTTAACAAATATAAGTTTATTAAGTTGTTGTAGGTTTTTTCGGGCTGTATGGTCATGGTCTAGAGGCATTCTCTCCTGACGTTTCGCCTCACTACCTTTGAGGATGCTTGCCATAGATGCAGGCAAAACGTCAGGAGAGAATGCCTCTAGACCATGGCCATACAGCCCGAAAAAAACCTACAACAACCCAGTGATTCCGGCCATGAAAGCCTTCAACAATACATAAGCTCATTAGTATTTCAATGGGAAGTGTGGGCCTGCTTTTGGCTGATGAGATAGGTTTGTTGTTGTTTTTGTTGTTGTGTGCTTTCAAGTTGTTTCAGGCTTAGGTTGATCCTAAGCGAGGGTCGGGTAAATGACCTTGGAGGGCCGCATCCGGCCCTTAATTTGAGGACCCCTGGTCTAAAGGGTGGTATCAAATACTTTAATTCCTTAAATCATACAAAAATCTAAAATTATTTCACATCTCTGGGAATATGTTCCTATTGTGAGTGTACTTGCAATATCAGGCAAATGTGTCCACTGTGTGAGATAGTTCTACAAAAATATGATAGTGATTACAAGCATCTAAAATCTTTCTTCAACTTTCTTTATTGTTCTACGAGTGCCTCAAATGTAGCTTTAGGGAGAGTTTGGTGGGAAATCTAATTTTACATCATTTAGTGTAGCTATTTGACAATTACCATATTTCACTGAATCTAAGATGCACCTTTTCCTATGTTAGGTAAATGGCCCTTTACAAATAAAACAATAATAAGAAAATGGCCAGCCCTGACACACATGTACAATCTAAATAGAAATACAAACACATGGAAAAGGAGGAGTAATGCAAATATAAAACTATGCAATATGATTGTAAAACAAATTATCCACATATAATATAAAATACAATATATAATAAAGTACGATAACAAATATATAATAATTAAAAATGCAAGATGATAAAACAATTCTGTCTTGTCATTACAGTTAATTCATTTTGAAAGCTGAAGACACCAGTATTTCTATAAAGGCATTTATAGCTTTGCACAGCTGACCTTTAATGAGAGCCTGTATCACTTCTTTATGCCCCATCTCACAGGCACGGAAAAGTGGAGTGTGTTTCATTACGTCAGTAGCATCTATCTGGGCTGCATGTTTTAGCAGCAATTGCACAGTGCTGACATGGCCAGAAAGGGCAGCAGCATGTAATGCTGAAAGATGACAAGAAAGGAATGTAGAAATTAAAGGACAGCAATAAGAATTGTGGACATAGCACATAAGCCACACCGCAAGCTGGTAATTGATAATTAGATTTAGTTGAATTTCATTTTGTTTTTTGATGCCTAGAGAACAGTATTTAGGAACCTACATTTACTCTCACTATTTTATTTTTTCACCCTTTTTATTGTACATTCTAAAACTACCAAAGCTCAAGAGACAAAACCAATATAAATTCTTAATAAATAAAGGCTGAGTTTTAGGTGCCGATTTTTGATTATATTCCTACTTGTTGTTCATTCGTTTCCGACTCTTTGTGACCACATGGACCAGCCCAGCCAGAGCTCCCTGTCGACTGTCACCATCCCCAGCTCCTTCAAGGTCAATCCAGTCACTTCAAGGATGCCATCCATCTTGCTCTTGGTCGGCTCCTCTTCCTTTTTCCCTCCATTTCCCCCAGAATCATTGTCTTCTCTAAGCTTTCCTTTTTTCTCTTGATGTGGCCAAAGTACTTCATCTTGGCCTCTACTATTCTTCCCTCCAATGAGCAGTCGGGCTTTATTTCCTGAAGTATGGACTGGTTGGATCTTCTCACAGTCCAAGGCACTCTCAGAACATTCCTCCAACACCACAGTTCAAAAGCATCTATCTTCAGCCTTCCCTATGGTCCGGCTCTCACATCCGTAGGTGACTATGGGGAATACCATTGCTTTGACAATGCGGATCTTCGTTGCCAGTGTGATGTCTCTACTCTTCACTATTTTATCGAGAATGGACATTGCTCTCCTCCGAAGAAGTAAGCGTCTCCTGATTTCCTGGCTGCAGTCTGCGTCTGCAGTAATCTTTGACCTAGAAATACAAAGTCTGTCACTACCTTCACATTTTCTCCCTCTATTTCCCAATTGTCAATCATTCTTGTTGCCATAATCTTGGTTTTTTTATTTTTAACTGCAACCCAGCTTTTGCACTTTCTTCTTTCACCTTGATTAGAAGGCTCCTCAGCTCCTCCTCGCTTTTGGCCACCAAAGTGGTGTCATCTGCATATCTAAGGTTGTTAATGTTTCTTCCAGCACTTTTCACCCCAGCCTTGCATTCGTCAAGCCCCGCACATCGCATGATGTGTTCTGCATACAAGTTGAATAGGTTGGGGGAGAGTATACAACCCTGTCGTACACCTTTCCCAATCTTGAACCAGTCTGTTGTCCCATGGTCAGTTTTTACTTTTGCTACTTGGTCCTTATACAAATTCCTCAGGAGAGAGACAAGGTGATTTGGTATGCTCATACCACCAAGAACTTGTCGCAATTTATTATGATCCACACAGTCAAAGGCTTTAGAATAGTCAATAAAACAGAAATAGATGTTTTTCTGAAACTCCCTGCCTTTCTCCATTATCCAGTGGATATTGGCAATTTGGTCTCTTGTTCCTCTGCCTTTTCTGAACCCAGCTTGTACATCTGGCAACTCTCTCTCCATGTATTGCTGGAGTCTTCCTTGCAGGACCATGAGCATTACCTTACTGGCATGTGAAATAAGGGCCACTGTATGGAAGTTTGAGCAGTCCTTAGGATTTCCCTTTTTTGGTATGGAGATATAAGTTGATTTTTTCCCAGTCTGATGGCCATTCTTGTGTTTTCCATATTTTCTGGGATATGGCATGCATCACCTTGACAGCATAATCTTTCAGTATTTTGAACGGTTCAGCTGGGATCCCGTCATCTCCTGCTGCCTTGTTATTAGCAATGCTTCTTAAGGCCCATTCAACCTCACTCCTCAGGATGTCTGGTTCTAATTCATTCACCACACCGCCAAAACTATCCTCGATATTATTATCCTTCCTATACAGATCTTCTGTATAGTTTCGCCACCTTCTCTTGACCTCTTCAGCTTCTGTTAGGCCCCTGCCATCTTTGTTTCTTATCATGCAATTTTTGCCTGAAATTTATCTCCAATGTTTCTAATTTTCTGGAAGATGTCTCTTGTTCTTCCTATTCTGTTGTCTTCCTCCACTTCCATGCATTACTTGTTTAAAAATAGATCTTTATTTTTTCTAGCTAACCTCTGGAATTGCGCATTTAATTGGGCATATCTCCCCTTATCACTGTTTCCTTTTGCTTTCCTCCTTTCTTGGGCTACTTCCAGTGTCTCAGCAGACAACCATTTTGCCTTCTTGGTTTTCTTTTTCTTTGGGACATACTTTGTTGCCGCTTCCTGAACAATGTCACGGACTTCTGTCCATAGTTCTTCTGGGACTCTATTTACTAAATCTAGTCCTTTAAATCTGTTCTTCACTTCCTACTACAGAACATTTATTCTTGATGAGCTGCTTAGCTCCTCCATAATTCATCATAATCAGCCCCAAATTGAGAGTAACTTCTTACAAAGGGCAAGCTGGGCAATCCTAAAGCAGCACTTTGTAGAGAGAAAATATTTCAATACATTGAGCTATTCTTACTTGTATCCTTTGTTTTTGTCTCTCCCATCGTTAACAGGAAACCCTACAATTTCCTTGTATTTACATTTTAATCTTATCTAAACTGTTGTGGTTCAGCAACAGCATGATGGACATGATGGGACTGAGAGTGCAAGTGGGCATGATGGGAATGG